TATATATATATATATATATATCTCACACGCTGCTGGTGTATGCTATTTATCTTACATATTTCAATAAAGTCTAAACTTGTTTGAGGCTAGTTCAGACCATTGCGTTCAGTTCCAGAGCTTTTACAAAAAAGTCCAGCATGCTGTATTTTTTCTGGTCTGGAATGCACAAAACCACGTGTAAATGCATGCAAACATACAAACACACCAAAATACACTGGAACTTGCCTAAAACCCAAGCAAAACCAATTGAGAAAAAAATGCTCTTATAAGCATTAAAACCGCTCATGACCTCGTTTGCAGAAACACATCCAGATTTAGTCTGGAGATGGTGCGAACAAGCTCTAAATAAGCTCTTGTTTATATACGGTATGTAGTTGATAGGTAATGCATTGAATCAGAAATCTGCTTTCAGCAACTACCAGAGTAGGTACACTAAGCAAAGTTCATTTTTGATTTGCTTGGATTAATTACTGTATTAACCTGCTCTTTGCCCCATCTTTTTTAACTACAAATCAGTTAAAGCAGAACTCCGGATAAAATAATGAATACCCATTGCAGTGGGGCTACCCCCGAACTGCAATAGTAGTGCTCGTTTTTGCCTAGGCTCAAAAATAAAACAGTTATACTCACCCAATCCTCCAAGCTGGCTTGCTCTTAGACCAGTCCCTGGAGCCTCTTTTCCCGTTCGCTGCAGCAGTCTAAGATCCCTGAGTCATCACGTTCTATACAATGTGTATACGACGTGAGGACGCTGAGCGACATACCATCGTTGGAGTGAAAAAGGAGGCAGACAGGAGAGAGTGCTGCCACAGCCAACCGGCTCAGAGGATTGTGTGAGTATAAAATTTTTATTTATGATGCCAGAAAAAAAATGAACACTTAACCCTTGCAGTGGGGGGAGGGGGGAAGCCCCACTGCAAGGGTTAAGAACATTTTCACCTAGAGTTGTTCTTAAAGACCTTGTAAAGAAAAAAAAATCCTTGGTTTGGTTGTATAGCAAGGACACAATTACTCTCCTGATGTCAGGTCTGGATTTGTTTTGGAGCCTGAGTAGCATTTTCTAATGTGGCAATTCACAGTATTCACTATTACCCTTTGTTACAGCACTATTAAAGGCTAAGTGGAGAATGTATCGTTGTGTCACACCTCTCATTATTAAGCCTGCCTTCCTCTCTGCTTATAAGCAAATAAGAGACAGTCGAACGAGGCTTATTTAACAAATACAGTATAAGAGCCTGTGAGCTATAACTAAATAACTAAAAGCATTAGCCAAAAGCAAATAACCCTTTCCATATCAATCCTGCTTCACGGCAGTAAAGACACATTAGTGAAAGGTCTATATTTATTTATTTTGTAAACTCTTTAAAATGTACAATAGTCATTTCAATAATGTAACTAAATTGGTATGAGGGGGTATAGAATTAGGCAGCCTCTCGCATATTAAACTTTAAAAAACATAAATTGACAAATATCTATTGGTATCACTTGGGTATGCAAGTACATAAAAAAATAGTTGGTTATGGAATTTGCAAAATACTGCATTACTTTTTTTTGTATAAGAAAAATGCCAAACATATTTCTATTATTTTACTACTTATGTAAACCCCGTAATTGTCTTGAAAAAAAAATGTCTCAAATTCAGACAGGTATCCTACAGAATTAAAAAAAACTAGGGATGCACAGATACTTTTCGAGTACCAATGCCAATACTTGGTATTTTCATGAGAACTACCAGGGTTGCAGCGGTTGCAGCTGGGACCTGGCTCTGGCACTCCACCACTGTTCTGAAATCCTTAGTCTGTATTGTTTTAGAAAAACTGTCACATGACAATAAACAAAAATGTATCAGTGCTTGTACGTGTAACTACTTGGGCAAGTATCAGTACTTGTACTTGGTAAAAAATGGTATTGGTGCACAACTTTATTTATATCTATAAAACAAAATCATACATTAAAACAGAGATGTACAAATCCCAGGAGCTCCGTGTGCTCCTTACAAATGACAGCTGCCTCCTAACTTTTGAATTTTTCTCTAGCCTAGTCTTGGAGCTCAAAAAGTATTGGTACTTGTACTTGTACCAAGTACGGTACTTGGTATCGGTGCGTCCCTAAAAAAACTATTTGTTATTGTTTTGGGTCTGTTTTATTTTTTTTATTTTACAAATAAACATGAAAAATAAACATGAAATACATAAATGGCATTGATGCGCCACAGAACAAAAAAAATTGCTCTGGTCCTGAAGTGGTTATTCGTTGTGTTGTCAAAAATGTGTACGATGTTCTTTAAGGGATATTATTTAATGAAATATGTTTGTGCATGTTTGTGTTCACTAACAAGCACACATACTGTATACAGAGTAATACATATGAAACAGCTCGATCAGTTGTTTTATTGATTTTTGTTTTTTTGTGAAGGGGTTCATTGTAGTATGGAAGACATTTTATTCTGTTATCCTCGCCTGCATTATACTAACACAGATGTATTTAGTCAACATATTATATATTATTATATTATAACACTTCTGACAGGTTGCATCATTTCTAGCAGTAGCTTACCCCCTGCTGTTTACAACTTTAGGTTTTGAAATTTCAACGAGATTATCCAAATCTTGACTTCTGTAACCAAAAATACAGTTACAAAAAGCAATGATTATTCACATTCATAACCCCAAGCTTAAATGTTTCCCAAGTGACAACAAAACATGGATGTATGTACTTTAATTTTACTATCAACACAGTCATATGCAGTTGTAGGGTAGCCAACAATATTTGACCTTGGCTGGGGTATGTACAGCCAATATTCAACTGTAAATGAGAACTCTGTGACACCATACAAATCCCACCAATCATCCGAGAGGTTAGCTAGTAGGTAGTCTAACTGAGTTTACAAGGTCATGTTAGATTTAGTAACACTTGACAAGTGGCATCATTTCTAGACATAACTTACCCCTTTCTGTTTACAACATTAGAGCTTGATACCCCAATGATATTAGGTCGGAGATAAAGTGAACCTGTTGCCAGGCCATGGCCTTTCAGGTATTAAGAAAGAAAAACTTTAAACAAACTAGCCTACTCTGACCTATGTAACTGCAGGAACTGATGAGCAATTCATCCCCAAAGCTCATAGCAGAAGCACTAAAGTCTTTCAAGACATGCTCTCAGCATCTCCCCTCACTCTGCTTCCCTCTATCACATACACTCGGGGGAATTTATCAAAGCAATTGTGACAGTTTTAGCCTCTTAGATAATTTTGTTTAATGTGCAAATCTGTCTTTCAACATGTGCGCCTGTTTTGACCTGAGCTTGCACTACTTTTCCAACTGCACATGTTTTGCACCAGTTTTCTTCAGAGCTTGCACTACTTTTTCAGTTGCATGTTTTTTGCACCTGTTTTCATCTGCACTTGTTCTGGGCTGTCTAAAACTGGAGCATCACCTAAGAAAACAATCACAACTTAAGAAGTCTCCATGACCACTTCTTCAAGAGGCGACAGTTAAGCTTTTTGCCTGGAGTTACAAGTCTTCTTTCCTGGAGTCTATTAAACCTCATTTATCAACAACATTACACTAGCATCATAAATCTGGTGCAAATATATTCCGTGCAAGTTCAAACACTCGCAATTGCTATGATAAATTCCCCCCACGGTGTTTAAATGAGGGATTGGAAAGTGGGAAGGCTATCAAGTCACTGCTGGGAAGGGGTAACAGGATGTGCTGACATGCCTGAAAAAATAACATTGTGCTTCTGCTGTTTAGTTTGAGGATAAATTGTTATATAGTGCATGCACTATATAACTAAAAATAGTTGGTATGGAATTTGCAAAATACGGCATTACTTTTTTTTTTGTATAAGAAAAATGCCAAACATATTTCTATCATTTTACTACTTATGGAAACCCATAATTGTCTCAAATGTCTCCAATTCAGACAGGTATCCTACAGAATTAGAAAAACCTTTTTGTTATTGTTTTGGGTCTGTTTTCTTTTTTTATTTTACAAATAAACATGAAATACATAAATGGCATTGATGCGTCACAGAACAAAAAAAAATTGCTCTGGTCCTGAAGTGGTTATTCGTTGTGTTGTCAAAAATGTGTACGATGTTCTTTAAGGGATATTATTTAATGAATTATGTTTGTACATGTTTGTGTTCACTAACAAGCACACATACTGTATACAGAGTCAAATACATATGAAACAGCACGGTCAGCTGTTTTATTTATTTTTTGTTTTTTTGTGAAGAGGTTCATTGTAGCATGGAAGACATTTTATTCTGTTATCCTCACCTGCATTATACTAACACAGATGTATTTAGTAAACATATTTGTAATGACAAATGTAATAAGTTATAACACTTCTGACAGGTTGCATCATTTCTAGCAGTAGCTTACCCCCTGCTGCTTACAACTTTAGGTTTTGAAATTTCAACGAGATTATCCAAATCTTGACTTCTGTAACCAAAAATACAGTTACAAAAAGCAATGATTATTCACATTCATAACCCCAAGTTTGAGATGTTTCCCAAGTGACAACAAAACATGGATGTATGTACTTTAATTTTACTATCAACACAGTCATATGCAGTTGTAGGGTAGCCAACAATATTTGACCTTGGCTAGGGTATGTACAGCCAATATTCAACTGTAAATGAGAACTCTGTGACACCATACAAATCCCACTAATCATCCGAGAGGACAGTTAGTAGATAGTCTAACTGAGTTTACAAGGTCATGTTAGATAACACTTGACAAGTGGCATCATTTCTAGACATAACTTACCCCTTTTTGTATACAACGTTAGAGCTTGATACCCCAATGAGATTATCCAGATCTTGTCTTCTGTAACCCAAAAAAAAATTGCACATTCAATAATTACTCACATGTATAACTTTAGGTCGGAGATAAAGTGAACCTGTTGCCAGGCTATGGACTTTCAGGTACTAGCACAGTAAAACTTTAAACAAACAAGCCTTCACTGACCTATGTAACTGCAGGAACTGATGAGCAATTCATCCCCAAAGCTCACAGCAGAAGCACTAAAGTCTTTCAATCCATTCTCTCAGCATCTCCCCTCACTCTGCTTCCCTCTATCACATACACTGTCTTTAAATGAGGGATTGGAAGGTGGGAGGCTATCAAGTCACTGCTGGGAAGGGGTAACAGGGTGTGCTGACCTGCCTGAAAAAATAACATTGTGCTTCTGCTGTTTAGTTTGAGGATAAATTGTTATATAGTGCATGCACTATATAACTAAAAATAGTTGGTACAGAATTTGCAAAATACGGCATTACTTTTTTTTTGTATAAGAAAAATGCCAAACATATTTCTATCATTTTACTAGTTATGGAAACCCATAATTATCTTGAAAAAAAATGTCTCCAATTCAGACAGGTATCCTACAGAATTAGAAAAATCTATTTGTTATTGTTTTGGGTCTGTTTTATTTTTTTTATTTTACAAATAAACATGAAATACATAAATGACATGGATGCACCACAGAACAAAAAAAAATTGCTCTGGTCCTGAAGTGGTTATTCGTTGTGTTGTCAAAAATGTGTACGATGTTCTTTAAGGGATATTATTTAATGAAATATGTTGTGCATGTTTGTGTTCACTAACAAGCACACATACTGTATACAGAGTCAAATACATATGAAACAGCTCGATCAGTTGTTTTATTTGTTTTTGTTTTTTTGTGAAGGGGTTCATTGTAGTATGGAAGACATTTTATTCTGTAATCCTCGCCTGCATTATACTAACACAGATTTATTTAGTCAACGTATTTGTAATGACAAATGTAATAAGTTATAACACTTCTGACAGGTTGCATCATTTCTAGCAGTTACTTACCCCCTGCTGTTTACAAATTTAGGTTTTGAAATTTCAACGAGATTATCCAAATCTTGACTTCTGTAACCAAAAAAACAGTTACAAAAAGCAATGATTATTCACATTCATAACCCCAAGCTTGAGATGTTTCCCAAGTGACAACAAAACATGGATGTATGTACTTTAATTTTACTATCAACACAGTAATATGCAGTTGTAGGGTAGCCAACAATATTTGACCTTGGCTAGGGTATATACAGCCAATATTCAGCTGTAAATGAGAACTCTGTGACACGATACAAATCCCACCAATCATCCGAGAGGTTAGCTAGGAGGTAGTCTAACTGAGTTTATAAGGTCATGTTAGATTTAGGGGTCTATTCACAAAGCTGCCGAAGGATCTG